TGGAGTCAGAGAGGAATAGTATGACATAATGGTCTAGTGGTTAAGTTGCAGCGCTTATGCTGCTACGACCTGGGTTTCTTTTCGAGTGAGACTTCTATTTTGGATATATATATATATATATATATATATATATATATATACTATATTCTATGACAGATTGCTCAAGAACAATAAAAGGAAAAAACAAGCTGTGTTTTGCTGATTAAAGCTAAGAGCCTAATTCGGCCAAATGAAAGATTAGATTTTGTAGGATTACAAAATCTGGTTATGTGGTCGATATCGGGGCCCCCAAGGACTCTGTTGCCTAGGGCCTTGGGGTACCCTTGGAACGCCACTGTATATGTTCATCTGATTGGGGTGAAGTCAATGGCTGACCAATCACCAACCTCACCGCACGTCACTGACTTATACCTAAAAACAGTTGTGGCCCTTGACCAGTATTCATATATTGCATGCGCTGCGAGGGCTGCACAGGGCATGAAAACGTTTGTTTGTCTATGTTGCAATAATGTGTGTGCTTTCTTCAGTGCAAATGTGGTTTGTGTCCGTCCATGTTTCCGGAAACTTGGACAGAACTTGAAGAGAGCCTTTGTTATAAAAGTGTTCCACCACAAGGTTCAGCGATGCACTTAATTGGGAACCGCAAAGCATATTGTGATCATAATCCCAAATGTGCAAATTATAGTTGGGCTGACACACACTGTAGAACAAAGAAAATTACTCTAATTTTAAACTAAACTACATATAAAAATCTGTTTTAAAACTGGTCAAACTACAAACATTTCAAAAGTAAAATAATATTTCATTTTTTTTTAATTGACATCAAAATAAAGTTCATGGCTGTGTAGAGATTGAAAAAGTCGCAGTCAGGAAGAGCCAACATGTACATATAAGCCTAGACTTCAGCCTAAATCCTTTTTGGTCAGGCATTATCCAGCACTAACATTCTTATATACACAAGTTCAGTATTATTTATATTAATATCATATTTGATGATCACAACAATGCAATGACAATATGCATACTGGGAATTGTACATGTCTAGTAATTGTTATAAGTTATTGTAAAATGTATAAATTTTTTGAAAACATGTGACCTAAGATCTAATATACATAATGACCAAAGAAATATACTACTACTACTACTACTACTACTACTACTATTGCAATAGCTGAGGAGCCATTTGACTGCTCTGGAAGTTAATTGGTCAATGTAACTATGGACATTTATCAACACATTGGTCAACTCCCCCCTTAGTCAGCTGCAAATATGGTTTGACCCCAAAAAAATTCTAACAAAAGGTTTTTCAGTGGTTTACAGTAGTATCAGATGTACTTAAAAACATACTAAAAGTTTACCAAAGTTTGACTCCAAGAAAGGCCTCATTTTCAAAATGGCGGCCATCAGGTCCTTAAAATGACCATTACTCCTATGTATTACTCCTAGACCAGGAATACTGGTGTCTGATATCTGTTTTGGCCAAATAATATTCTAATTAGTATATTTGCATGAAAAATAAGTGATTACAAGCACAATTATATATTAAAGCAATTGGTTATAAGGATATGTATGCGAAAAATAAGTACATTTTCCCTTAAGCAATCCCGTATTTCTCTTTTATCATATCGTTTTTCCTAGTTTTGGTGGTTTCCGTGGTTCATAACCATTATTTTGATTCCAATAAAGAATAAATTCATCAAAAATGTTTGGTACCGTAAACACCCGTATGTTTTTTGTGTTTTTTTTATATCAATATTTGTATATATTTTATAATGTGTTTTGTTTTGTTTTTTGCCTTTTGTTTTTTATATTTATGTATAATTTTTATTGTTTTGTTATTCATATCTTTTTCTATTTTCTTCAGTTGTTTCTTCTTACTGTCGCTATTGTCGCACAGTTGGTGGGCGACAGTAGCTCAGTTGGTAGAGCAGTGGCATTTGGGCCTGAAGGCTGTTCGTTCAAGCCCACCACGAGACCTACTTTACAACTCCAACTGAAGCCCCTGCTGAATAATCAAGGCTCCTGTGGACTCACCACCTGCAGGAGGATCAGTGAGGGGCTGGTACGGGGTGCAGCTCTGACTGCCCCCCCGACCCAGAAATGGATTTAAGGGAAGAAAATGGATGGATGTGTCTTCTTATTCAAAGAGCATGTGGAAGGAGCCCGAGCTCCTTGAAAGAGGTTAAAAGATACCGACTAGAGATAGTCGGCCTCACCTCCACGCACAGCTTGGGCTCTGGAACCCAACTCCTTGAGACGCTCCACTTTTCTGGTGTTTCTCGCGGGGAGAGGCGGCGAGCTGGGGTGGCCATACTCATTGCCCCCCATCTCAGTTCCACGTGTTGGAGTTTTCCCCGGTGAATGAGAGGGTCGCGTCCCTCCGCCTCCGGGTGGGGGACAAGTCTCTCACTGTTGTGACGGCCTACGGGCCTAACAGCAGTGCAGAGTACTTGCCCTTCTTGGAGTCCTTGGGGGGTGTACTGGACAGTGCACCTACCGGGGACTCCGTTAATCTCCTGGGGGACTTTAACGCCCATGTGGGAAATGCCAGTGACACTTGGAGAGGGGAAGAACGGTCCCCCTGATCTGAACCCGAGCGGTGTTCAGTTGTTGGACTTCTGTGCTAGTCCCGGTTTGTCCATCACGAACACCATGTTCGAGCACAACACGTGCACGTGGCACCAGGACACCGGAGGTTGATGATCGACTTTGTTGTTGTATCATTTGACCTTCGACCGCGTGTCTCGGACACTCGGGTAAAGAGAGGGGCGGAGCTGTCAACCGATCACCACCTGGTCGTGAGTTGGATCCGCTGGCAGGGGAAGAAGCCGGTCAGACCTGGCAGACCCAAGCGTGTAGTGAGGGTCTGCTGGGAACGTCTCGCTGAGCCCCCTGTCAGACAGACTTTCAACTCATACCTCCGGGAGAGCTTCTCCCAGGTCCCGGCGGAGGAGGGGGATATTGAGTCTGAGTGGACCATGTTCTCTTCCTCTATCGCCGATGCGGCGGCTCGTAGCTGTGGTCGCAAGGTCTTTGGTGCTGGTCCCGGGGGCAAACCCCAAGCCCGGTGGTGGACACCGGCAGTCATATCGAGCTATGATGGTTCGGGGGACTCCTGAGGCAGCTGTCCAGTACTGGCAGGCCAAGCGTGCCGTGGCCCGGGCTGTTGCAGAGGTAAAAACCCCGGGACTGGGAGGAGTTCGGAGAGTCCATGGAGCAGGACTATTGGTCAGCCTCGAAAAAGTTCTGGCAAACCGTCCAGCGCCTCAGGAGGGGGAAGCAGTTCTTTGCCAACACCGTGTATGGTGCGTGTGGAGAGCTGCTGACCTCGACTGGGGATATTGTCGGGCAGTGGAAGGAATACTTCGAGGTTCTTCTCAAGCCCCCCGTCACGTCCTCCATCCCGGAGGCAGAGGCTGAGGATGCTGGGGCGGATACCTCCATCTCCTTGGCTGAGGTCACTAAGGTGGTTGGCAGCCTCCATGGTGGCAAGGCGCCGGGAGTGGATGAGATCCATCCTGACTATCTAAAGTCTCTGGATGTTGTGGGACTGTCTTGGCTGACCCGTCTCTGCAACATCAAGTGGCGATCGGGGGTGGTGCCAATGGAGTGGCAGACCGAGGTGGTGGGCCCTCTCTACAAGAAGGGGGACCGGAGGGTGTGTTCCAATTATCGTTGGATCACACTCCTCAGCCTCCCCGGTAAGGTCTACTCCAAGGTACTGGAGTAGACCTTATCGGGCTTAGAAGTATTTTACTTCTAAGCCGTCTGGACCAGCCGCACTGTTAGTTTTAAGCTCGTTTATAGCTTGTATTGAATCCAAATGTGATATCTGATTAAAAGAAAATGATGTCTCATGAACGTCATTTAGTGGATTAGGTAAGTATGGATGACCAGAGTGCTGTGTACTACTTATGGAGGAGAAATATTCATTAAAGCAGTCAGAGATTAAGTTGTGATCAGTAATTGTAGTATTATTAACAGTAACAATAGTTTCTTTTGGACCTACCCAGAAGCTGGTCCAGGTGTTTCCAAAATTGTTTAGGATTGTTGTAGTTCAGACCGAGGGCTTTCTCTGAGTTTGGGTTTTGGATTGATTCCTGAGTTGTCTATAGATCTCCCAGTCGTTAGGGTCCTTAGACTCTCTTACTTAGTCCAAGCTTGGTCTCGACGTTTAAAAAGATTAATTAAGTCAGAGCTGTCAAGATGCCGTCCTTTTACGTGAATAGTTTTAAATGGGGCATGTTTATCAATTACTTTAAGGACTTCAGAATGGTTCACCCCAAAGATAAAACCTTGCAGTGATATCACAAAATCATGTATTCCATAAGTATGTAATAATCTCAGTGCAATTTAGTCAAGTCCAATGGATTCATAGACCCAGAAAACATGGGGTTAGACACCAAGATTACTTGGCTAGGTCAAATAATGAACGAGTTAGGATTTGTTAGGGGCTTCCTGCCCATCTTGGACGCCATCTTGAAAATTATACATTTCTAGTGGTCAAATTTTGGTAAACTTTTATTATGTTATTAAGGACACCTAATACTACAAAAAACATTTAAAAAAACCTTTTGTTAGAATTTTTTTGGGGTTAGGTGCGTTTATTTCATATATGCAGCCGCCTACCTATGGACCAATACATATAGTGTGTGTTCTCTATTCTTTGTGTTTGAACTGTTGGATTCTCTGATCTGTGTTTCAAAGGTTTTGTTAAGTCCTCTGAGATAACTACTGTTGTGATTTAGGCCTATACAAGAATACATTAAATTGACTTGATTAGAACTGACCCACACAGCAGTGGCACTGTACAGTATGAAACAATATAGTGTATGTCTGTGGTTTTACTCAGTTGTAACTGTTTTAATATTGTTCTAATTAATAAATTGCTCATTATAAGAAACATGTCATGGAAGCTATGAAGGGTTGTGATGAGTTTGACAGAGACCTTCACATGAAAAGCACCACAGATCCTTATCTTGTACTTACAGAAATGAAGTTTAACGTGCAAACACAGACTTCGATATCACAAAAGCTTCGTCTCCTTCCTTCCTTCCTTCAGTGGGTGTGATGTGCGGACACCTTTTGCGCGCATGCAGAGCAGGATCAGAGCGCCGGCGGCTGCTTCCGTGCTCCTTGGGCTCCAGTTTGTCAGTGCGCTCTGTGATCTCACCTGTTTTGGCAGAAGCTTCGGCGAAAACACATCGACGCAGCACGGTGACAACACGAAAGGAAAGACGCTCTAGGTCACAATCACACAGGAGGAAAGAACACAAAATTACACCGTGTTTTTACAAATTCAACTTTGTTCCTGCAGCAATCAACATAATAGATTCTATGCGGGGACGTTATATTTGTGTCCTGTTCAATCTTTCGTTTTTTTGGTTTTTTTTTCTATCCAAGCTATAACTCTGGAGCAGTCTTCCTGACAATGTGAGTTAGGCTTCTACTGTGACATTAAGTGTAAAAAGTTAATGTTGTCTTCCTGAGGGTTAGGCTTTGAAGGTTCGTTTTAGAAGACAAAAAATGTAAAGAAGCTAATTACCTGACCTGTTTTGGCGGTAGACCTCAACCTTCGTCAGAGGTGACATGTGGTAGTGATATCAGCTGTTGTTGCCGGATATGGTATCATTGTGGTCTCTGGAGATGTGAATTCCAAGTGTGAGCCAAGGTGAAAGCCCCCTCGTCTCTGTTGACGGTCTGTGCGCCCCGCTTCCTGATTTCTAACGCCTCTCGTATCCATCTTTTGTATTTATGTTCTTCTGTTCTCTGTTATGGTGCCTACTCTGACATTGTTCAAATCCAGGATGAAACAGCTCTGCTTAGCTGTACATACAACTGAAGGATTGTAATACATTGCTTAATTTGAATAAAAGTAGTGGAAAACAAGAAGATTTTCATAGGATATTTTTCAGAATTTCATTTATTTGAGTGCTTGCCGTCAAAGTGACTGTTCTGGGAGTTCTTGCAGTTTCAGAATTCTGGGAGTCCCAGTGTTTCGTTCTGAGACACATGGATAGCTTTATATATGCAAAGTGACTGAAATTAGTTTGCACATAGATTTAGCACTGTATGTAAATGCATGCGTAATGGTTCAAAATATCAGAAGAAAATCTCTTGTAAACTTGCTGTGTTATTGAAAGTGGTATCAACATTTCTGCAGCTAGACCTTCTTCAGGCAACATGTGCTCATTTCAGCTCTTTTCAGTGGATTTTGTGTCTGGTAAACCGTAATGGTCGAGGTGAAGGTTGCAGTTGTTAATAAGCCTCTTGCTCCCTATCAGCAAAGGGCCTTTTTCTCCTAAATATTTCATCAAGAAAATGATATCTCCCCAAGCAAGTGAGTACAGGCACCTCGTCATAAAACATTCATTAAAAACTACATTTTTCAACAGTTTCCCAAAACCAGACATGGGACCATCAAATATTGAGTTTTATGAGTCTAGTCAATCTCTTATTAATGGTAATAAATTGTCCAAAAGTGATGGAACATTACTGCTCATTATACCTGACCTACGCAGTGCTGGATTTCTGCACTTTAATCATAAACACTGCATAAACTATAGCTCAACATTCACAACCTGCTTCTCTCAATTAAACTCTCATTACTTTTCCAATAGTCAAAAGCCACGAAATGTATTACATATATTTTACTATTTGAAATGTGTAATCTTGTTACAACCATTGACTACAACTGCCGTCTACATTTAAGGACATTTATCATCATTTATGAACATTGGTCATCTGCCCCTTATGGACCAATCGCTCTGTGTGTTTTAATCATTGCATTTCTTGCGTTGAACAGTTGATTCTCTTATCTGTGTTGGCAATTTCAACGGTTTTATTAAGTCCTCTAGGATAACGACGGCTGTGATTTAGGGCTATATACAGTAAGAATGCATTGAATTGTACAGTATGGCTCAACAACATGATGTACCAGGAGGGGAACAGAGACAGCACTGATTTATTTTAAAAAGTCTAAATGTGTGAACAACAAAAATGATCTGCAGCTGCTGGGCCCACTGGTCGCACAGGGCCTGGGTCTCGTCTGTATATACTCTCTATTGTCCTAATTCTATCTTTAGGTCCCATATAACGCTTTTTGACTTTTCTCTGCTGTAAACATGATTACAGTGCTATTTGGCCTTCCTACACATGCCCCGAGTAGTTTTTTCATTGATTATGTCAATCTTTAGTTAGAGAACAATCTTTCTCCTTCACCCCCGAGAGGCAGTGAAATGCCTGGTCCCACATCTGTAACGATAACCACTCAAATACACAATACACAATAAGTATGCTGTTTGTTGTCAAAAATAATACAAATAATAATAATACTAGGGCTGTCAAACGATTGCATTTTTAAATCGAGTTAATTACAGCTTAAAAATTAATTAATCGTAATTATTCACATTTTGAACTAACGGTAAAATTCTGCCATATTTTTTTGTAAACCCGTAATTTAATTGAAAAGTTGAGCTCATTGATGGCCTGAATTCATAAAAAATTCAGGCCATAAAAAGTGCAGCAGCAACTTTTGCTTTATGCTTGTTCTCTTAGGCCACGCCCCCTGTAGGTCTGCAGCGCATGCAACACAAAGTGCTTTACAGTTTAGTTAAAAACAATCCAATATGCCCACACCCTAAACCCCACCGCCCCACCTAAAATCACGTTTATTGATAACTATACACCCACATGCATACACACATACATACGCGCACATACACACACACACACACAGACACATATAAAGTCACATCAGATTGGTAAAACTATGAACAGATATAGGCCTGGGTGCAGATGTATCCAGCTGAAGAAGCGCCATCCAAGGAGCCATCTGCACCAGGAGCAGAGAGCTGCTTGTAGGCACAGGGGACGACACAGGACCCAGAGGAGAGAGGAGGCCCCAGACCCCCACCAGGTCCAAGAGTCACCTGGTGTATCACTCAAATTATCATTACACATGTGCATAGGATTGACTGTGAAACCTGAAGAGAATATGGAACCTTTAACCCATATCCTGAACAACAGTTAGGCGCAGTCTGTCCTCCGCTGCTGTGTTTGTTGACCTTAGGGCTTGCCGTAGTTTCTCCCAGAAAAGCGGTTGGTCATCGTTGGCACGTGTCCAGCTCAGGTATGTGCGTTTCTTGAGCAGCCGCTTCATGCGATAATAAGGATTTAGATGAGACAGGGGGATGTCCTCCAGGAACAGCAGGATCAGAACGTCCTCGCACTCATCGAACAAACGAAAGCTACAACAAGAAACACAATCAGAACCAACATCTGCACACTGAGGTTCATCAACGGTACCTGGCCAGCTGCATCTCTTTGGAGCACCATTCACTCTGCAGATACCTGTGGCTGATCACACAAATGGTCTTTCTGCTTTCATAAATGGCCTCTGCAATGTTTTCCACAATGGGCTTCCCTGTAAATAAGTAGTTCAATCAATGCCAGTGACTCGAGTTTGAAATTCAAACCAGGAATGTAAGGGGGAAGGTCTTGAGTTTAGGGATTCCAAGTAAGGAATTCTGGCCGGGAGCTCTGGACAAAATCACCCCTCAAACTATATGTTTGGACCAGCCTTGATCTGGATTGTGGCAAAACACAGGGGAATCATCTACTTATACCAACATCAGTTGTGACTCGGACTGGGTCCTGCCTCAGGTTACTGCAGGAAAAGGAGATAAGGACAGTCTTCGCAAAGACCTGAGACCGTCAGCTCACGAGAAAGGAGGAGTCAGTTGAAGTCTCTTGTGTTGGTCTATTGGCGTGGACATTGATGTGTGTGTATTTCATTTGTGATTTGGGTAAATTGTATGAACCTCCATGTTCAATTGTGATATGTCTTTGTCATATGTATATGTAGATCTACCAGACCTGGGCCTGTCCCAACGCGGGACTATGCAAAAGAGAAAGCGGACACTTTCTCGGGCCCTCTCCTGTTCACTGTCTGCTACGCTCCCTCTTCGATTTCCTCTCCTGAAACTTGCTCTCCAAGCTAGACTCTGCTGGACAGGGCCTCAAGTTTCTCCTTGCTTCCACACATCACCACTGATGACACATCAGCGACACACAAAAGGGCACATACAGCTACCTGCTGACGTGCTGATGTTTGGATTGAACTTTCAGGGTCATTGTTGGCTTTTTTGACCACTCTGACTCTGCCTCAGAATATTATGACATGTACTGTAATTACTGAATTGAACAACTGCTTTGATTATTGCCTTTTGTGAATAAAATCAAATTGAGACTACAGTAAATTTATTGAGACTGGTGCCCCGAGTAGAATTGAATTAACTTCTCCTTTCAGATGAATTAGGTTTAATCAATTACATTGCAATAATACTTTCCCAACACAAGGATGTGGTCAGAGGACTGTACCTGGGAGGAAGTCTCTATGGTGCAAACAGAGTGTCCAGCCTTGCTCCTGCTCCAGATGTGGCACCAGTTCTCCATAGACCCAGGCCTCATCTTTGCTGTTGTATGAGACAAAGGCGTCGTACCGACACTCGGCTCGCTTCTGCTTGTTTTTGGCTTCAAACAGCCAGGCCAGGAAGATGTAGTAGGCATAGATAAGCTGAAAGCGACTGAAATGGTAGGTGAATGATGCCACGAGGATAAGAATATTCAAACATGAGCTGGAAATGAAACAGATGAAGCCCACGTCCACAAAGCAGGACTGCACATTGAGATCCAGTAACTTTGTGTTTTTTTGGAGAGGACGGGAGTTGCATCTGAAGGTCTGAGCATCAGTCACTTGAGTTTGATTGTTCTTTTTGATCCACTGCACAAACCAGGCGTTGTCACAGTCACAGGCAAAGTTGTTGTCCATCAGCTCTATCCGTTTCAGACTTGGTAAAGAGTGGATGACATCTTCGCTGATCACAGAAAAGGTGTTCTTTCTTACCAGCAGCTGCTGAAGTTTTGTCAGGTTGGCGTGAATCAGAAAGTCTAAGGAGCGTAGATTCGTGCTAGTAAGTCTGAGCAGCACCAGATTTGGGATTGGAACAAACAAACTTGTTGAAATGTCCGAAAGGTCATTTGAGCCCATGTCCAAAGAGATGAGATGAGGTGTATGGGAAAAAAAGTCATCACTGAAGTTTAAAAGGTGGATATTATTGCAGAAGAAATGGTTAAGATTCGTGAGACCCTGAAGGAAGTTTAATGGGAAAATGCTCCGTCCAGTAGAGTGCTGAACAGAAAATTTCAAAGTCTGTAAGCGTGACAAGTTTATAAATGGAGGATATTCTAAAGGAGAACTTTGTGCATATTTGATATGATTATTTTCTAGATTAAGCTTTGTAAGATTAAACAAATATCTAAAAGGAGTACTGTTAAGAGTGCGTATGTTTAGGTTGTTATCATGTAATTCTAATTCATTTAGACGTGTCAGACCAGAGAAGCAACCCGGCTCCAATGTTTTGATCTGATTTCGACCTAGCAACATTTTTGTAAGTGAATGTAAACCAATGAATGCATTTTTAGTGATATGAGTGAGTTGATTCTGATTCAAATACAGCACCTTAAGGTTTGGTAAACTGCTTTGGAAAGCCTTTCCCAATGTGAGTAATACATTTGATTGTAGTTTCAACTCTTCCAAATTCAACAAATCAACAAAGGTACAATCTTCTAGTTCAGAGATCCTGTTGCCTTGGAGATCCAGACGTCTAAGACTTGACAATCCAGCAAAGTCCTGACATCCAAGTGTCTTGATATGGTTGAAGGCAAGCTTAAGTGTTCCAAGGTATTGTAGATTTCTGATTGCAAACGGAACTCTTGTGAGCTTGTTTTTGCTGAGGCTTAGGGTTCTAAGATGACAAAAAAAATAGTAATTTTGAATGTCTTTAATATCATTTCTCTCTAAATCCAAGTGAGGGATCTCACACATCTTAAATACATTTGACTTTATTGGGAAGTGTTTGCTTTTCCATATTTGTAAGCTTTGTAATTTTAGGATAGAGCAGGACATGTTTATCAGAGACGGAAGTCGGCTTTGCATCTCGTTTAAAGTTAAACTTCTTAAAGAAGAATTCAAACTTGTGAATAGTTTTCTCCAATCATCAGTCGTGTTTAGTTCTACTGCATTGATGCTCAAAGACTTCAGGGAAGAGCGTTTCTGTACAACCCATGACAAGTTTGACTTGTGCTCCCCAATTATTAATTTTATCAATTTAGAAAAGGTCCCTGTTGTTACCTCAAACATTGTGAGTGGATTGTCTGACACATCCAGGTGCCTAATCACTGTTGAGGTATTTGCCAGACCTTGTGATCTCACAGTTGAGATTCTATTGTTGCTAATTTTTAGTGTATTTAACCGTGGTGTTTGCTGTATAGCCAAATTAACCTGTGCAATGTTTCCGAGATTATTACTGGACAAGTCAAGAAGAGTAAGGCTGCTCAGAGATATGAAGGCTTTTGGTGACACAGAAGCAAGTCGATTGGAGTCAATTCTTAGCCTTTCCAGTTTGGACAAGCCATCGAACACTTCATCTTCAAGTTTGACAAGTGCATTTCTGCTCAACACCAGAATTTTGAGAAATTTTGATTTGGAAAAACAGCGTATTCCGATGTTTGAAATGTTGTTCTGACGTAGATCAAGTGTTCTCAAAATTGTGAAATTTGTAAAATTTAAAAGTTGTATATTTGAGATGTTGTTGTTGCTCAGATCGATGCTCCGTACAGTGGGGGGGAGGTCTGTGGGGACCTCAGTGAGATGCTTTTGGGAGCAAATAGCTGAATCTTTTAAGAGGTGGCAACTTCTGAGGAAGAACCCTGTGACGCCAAAGTTACTCAAAAAGAGTCCATAAATCAGTGAGACTCTCATCAGTGACTTTACTATTGTAGCGTCCATTGTTGGGGAAGGAAGTAGGTTGAACTCTGGAATACAGAAAAAGAGAAGTGAGATGTTGTATTTTGAGAAAAGCAGAAATCACCACAATCAAATATAACATGTTAAATTTGAATTACTCTGTTATGGCACAGACTTCTTTTAGTCACTATGTTGTAAAAGATTTTTTAAAAAATTACTTTGGCACCAAGCAAACACACAACACTCATTAATTAGATGAAAATCAATAATGTATTTATTCATTCAACATTCAATGAATTGATTTTGTTTTATGTAATTTTTCCTCTTCTTTTTTGTGTCTTTCTCTTTATAAGTTACTGAACATTATATATGTATTAGACAATGCCAGTATTATTCTATCATTATGCAGTATACCATCAAATCACGCAGTATAAATATCCACGCACAACCAGCATTCATCCAAGCTGTGGATTGTCCTGAATGCGTGTCAATGGTTCTGTACGCACGTCAATGGTCCTGCCCGTGTGTCTATGGTCCTATTCGCGTGTCTATGGTTCTTGCCGCCTGTCTATGGTCCTGTCCGCATGTCTATGGTCCTGCCCGCGTGTCTATGGTCCGCCTGTCTATGGTCCTGTCCGCATGTCTGTGGTCCGCGTGTCTATGGTCCTGCCCGCTTGACTATGGTCGGCGTGTCTATGGTCCGGTCCGAGTGTCTATAGTTCTGTCATTTTTATGTATAAAACTAGTGAATTTCACCTAGATATTTTCAGAAATTAAAGACAAGATGTTATATAATAATTATTTGATGAAAACACAATTTTGCCAAATAAATGACAATCGACCTATTTTCACTGTTTACTCGGAACGTGCCAGCGCGACATCCGACGGGTTTTTCCAGATTGCATCACCAATAGGAACTGCCAAACCAGAGTTTTTTTGGAGATAATTTCTCAAACTGACCTCAGCATGGAGTTCTGGTGATTTTAATTGAATCAGAAATGAAAATTGACTGTGCCAGAGAGAGGAAAGACACACACACACACACACACAAAAACATAAACATATACAGTACAACTTGATATTTATCTTGTTATTTCATGATTAATTGGTATCATGAAATAACATGATAGTTATATATAAATATATTAGGGCTGTCAAGGCCCTCTGGAAATTCAAGTTTAAAAAGAATAGTGTGACAGCGGAGCACTTGCTGTTGATTGCTGTATGAACTCAAACGGGATTCCGCGTCCTTCTTGGCTGCAGCGTTCTGACCTGGGGCAGTGCCGCTTTGATAACAACACAGCGAATGGCGCCGCTGTAACATCGTCATATCCAAAACCATACACGCCACAGAACTATTCTCTGCTTGTTGTGTGCGTGTCTTTGCCATTGGCTGACATTATGCATTTCAAACTTTTTTGAAATGTCCCATTCTCATGCTTACGGTATTTTTTTGTCTGTGTCCATCTTCCTCTGTCTGAGACATGTTTATTACTCTCTTGTAATGTAGACTGAACATTGCACTTTATTTCAATTGTTGAAACTACATACATCCTCTACACATAATGTACCATTCAAAAAACCTTGAAAAAACTCCTACAGTAGGTCCCATTCCGTTTTGTCGCCTTTCACGCGTGAATCACACGAGACTCACGTGTGATTCACGCGTCTTTTATTTTCCCCCCTCCCAGTGACGTTGCAATGACCAAAACAACCACCAGGTGGCACTTGTGAGCAGGGTTACATTGGCGAGTTTCTGCCCCGCGCACATCGACAATCTGGTTAAAACGGGCAACTCCTTGTAGCAGGCCAGTCTCTGGAATAACCCGCAGACATTAAAACTACTGCATATAACGTAAACTTTTGCATCACGTTGGTGATCTTTCCAAAAAAAGAGAATATCGTTATGGAAAGAGAAACTATTGGTAATATAACGCTGAACGTTATTTGACTCAAACAGCTCCGCTGGTGTCTCCTCCCACTCAGAAAAAAAGCAGACGCCTTTTCTCTGGCATCTCTAACATTTATAATAAATACATAAATATAACAAGAGTAGAGTAGCTTTTGATTAGTATTTATTATTTATTATTGCTTTTTAGTACATCTATTTATGTTTTTAGACACATTCTATTTGTATTTATTTTTATCATTTACTATTTTTAATTATTTATTGTATCTACCCATTTACTATTGTTATTATCAATATTAGGCAGCTGCCATTTTTCTTTTTATTGTCACATTTTATTGTTAAATATACAATATATAATGGAAACACTTATTTCGATATAGCGGAGGAAGCCGAGCTGAGCTTTATTCAGTGAGTTTTGGCTGCGCTTCGTGTGGAGACTTGGGAGAGACGTGGGAGAGGCATGGGGGAGAGACGGGGGAGAGGCATGGGGGAGAGACGGGGGAGAGACGGGGAAGAGACGGGGGAGAGGCATGGGGGAGAGGCATGGGGGAGAGACGGGGGAGAGGCATGGGGGAGAGACGGGGGAGAGACGGGGAAGAGACGGGGGAGAGACGGGGAAGAGACGGGGGAGAGGCATGGGGGAGAGACGGGGGAGAGGCATGGGGGAGAGACGGGGGAGACAGGCAAGACCCGTGTCTATGGTTCTGTGCGCGCGTCTATGGTCCGCGCTCGGTACATGACCACGCGCGTTCGCGGAGCTGTCAAAGCAGCCACAGTTTCTCCCGGGGTCAGAGAGGATGAGAGCCGCAGCAGAAGTCAAGACATTAATATATTTCACGTAAATCAAAGTGTTGTTTACTTCTGTTGCCATGTTGACGTACTAGAAACTAGTGAATAAACGCGCGAAAATAGTGTATACTTATTCGAATATGTCTTAATGGAAACGGCCGCTTTTGCGAATTACAGGTTTTTCGAATTTTGAAATGTATCGAAAAAGTTTTTGCGCATTATTCAATGGAAACGCAGCTACAGAGAACATGCCAATTCCACACAGAAAAGCCCTGTCCCGACCGGGATTCGAACCCAGGACCTTCGTGTCAAGAAGCGAGAGTGCTATCCACTCAGCCACCATGCCACACACACTGTAACCCAGAGGGGAAAGTTAATGTTTCTAAGACTGACCCAGAGAATATACAGGGCTACTTTGGCTTGGCCCTGTCGATTACGGTTGGTAAAAATAAATATTGTCATTTGCTTCTGTCCTGTTAGTCAAAATAAAACTTATCACGACTGAATAGTTTCTCCCTGTAAAACTAAAGCTCATTTCATGGCT